CTGTGATGTTTAAGTCTTTTGCTTATTTTTCTAGATTGGGTTGTTTGTATATTTTTATTATTGACTTCTAGGAGTTCTTCAGTATTCTGAACACAAGTCTTTCGTCAGATAGTTGTTTTCCAAATATTTTTCCTCCAGTCTTGCCTAAGCATTTTGCTAAAAGTGTTTTAATATTGACCTAATCTAGTCTTTTAAAATTTTTATTAAGGTTACTGCTTTCTTTGTCCCATTTAAGAAATTTTTATGTACCTCCAACGTCTTAAAGCCATTCTCCTGTGTTTTCTTCTAGAGTATAACTTTAGGTTTTATGTTGATGCCTTTTATTTTATCTCAAAATGATTTTTGTTCATAGTGTGAGGTAGCAGTTAAAGTTTATGATATTTTGCTGTATGAATATCTAATTATTGCAATAGCATGTCAGAAGGTTGATCCTTTCCCCAATGGATTGTTTTAGCACCTTTGTTGTAAGTCAGTTGACCATACAAGTGTAGATTTATCTATGAATTCTGTTTACTTCCATTGATCTATCTATTGGTCTTTCCTTAGGTCACAACTAAGTAAATCTTAAACTCAGGTAGCTGAATCCTCCAATTCTGTTCTTTTTTCACAAGTATTTTCATTATTTTAGGTTCTTTGCATTTCCATTCAAATTTTAGAATCACCATCTCAATTACTATTAAAAAAAAAAAAAAAGCCTGCTAAGGATATTAACAGGATTGAGGAAAATTTGCAATTACAGTATTGAGAAATACAATATTGAGTCTTCAAGCCCCTGAACATGGTCACCATTTATTTAAATCTTCTCTACTTTTTCTCAGTGGTGTCTTCTACATCTTTTGTTACATTTACTCCTAAGTATTTTATGGTTTTTGATGCTATGATTAATGGATTTTTAAGTTTTATTTCCCCATTGTTTGTTGCTAGTATATAGACTTATCTTTGATCTTACTGCATTTATTTACGAGATTTTCTTCCTTTTCCGTAACTTTTCTTTCTTTCTTTTCCTAGTGATACCTTAGGATTTGCTACATGAACAGTCATAACATTTGCAAATAGGGATAGTCTTATTTTTTTTATTCTCTTTGTGACTTTTCTTTCTATTTTTATTTTATTTTATTTTATTTTATTTTATTTTATTTTATTTTATTTTTTTTATTTTTTTTATTTTTTTTATTTTTTTTATTATTTATT